ATTCAACGACTGCTCCTCTGGCATTAGATTAAACAAAACTGCACTAGCGAAAAACTGAAACCTCAACTTCAGTTGTTGCATGCTTCGAATCTCACCCAAGTGTGCAAACAACCCCACACTCGCCCCAACCAAAGATGAATATATTGAATACCATATTTGAATATCCATCAAATAAATCAAAATAACCGGAAGCCACAGTAACCCGAGAGCAAACCAAGTACCGTTTCGAAAAAGCTCATGCCACAGGTAATTGATATCCTTAAGGTCCAAAATCATCTTTGATGGACCAACCATTGGCCTAATCTGCAAAAAGTAGCTGAAACAAAACTTTGAGGCCAGAACCACAACCCAAAACAAGATGTAACTAACGTTGTCCGTAAGACCTTCACTCAATCCACGACCAACGAACGTCCTACTTTGAAACCACCACGACAACATGAAAAATACCCTCCAATTCTTCTTCTCAATAAAATTCCTGACCCAAGGAAGAATAAGAAGTACCAAAGCCAAAAGCTCCGGAACCATGAAAACAAAAACAACCTTTAGAAAATTCACCAGCCGCTTGTTCGCTTCAACAGACCAATTTCCATCACGGTTTCTCTGTTCCCATATTTTCTGATAAAAAACGAAAAACAAAATGAACCATGCTGCGGCGACCACGGCTTTTAGCACCATCTTCATTCCAAGTCCAATTGTCTCCACCGAAACCAACCTGTTATTACAACAAATACGTTATATTACAAGTTAGGTTCATGGGATAGATACACATGTGAATGCATGAAATGAAACAAAGGAAAGTATTGATGTTCCAGAACCAACCTCCATTGCATCACTATATCAAGCCAAGACTGCAGAAACCTGAGTGCACTCCACGTGAAGAAGATGGTTAAAACCCGAACCTGCAAGTCACGATCCTCCAATGCATGCCAAGGATAGGTTTTATCCTCCCATGCAACAATCAGAGCAGCCTGAAGGAACAAAAACAACATAACCCAAAGCCTATGGAAACTCCTAAACAAGTTCCAAAACGACCGTCGTTCCACAAACCCAATCTTCCTAACGCGCTTGTCGAAGAAACCACACCCAACATCAATAGGCCACTTGAGCTTCTCAAAGCAACGTTTGTCCCAGAAAAACTCGTTTATGTCATCGTAGTTTCTCCACTTACAGTGAGGCACGGTTCCGTTCCTACTACTCTCAACCTCAGATAGTAGGATTCGGTAAATTGGTTGCACCACGCGATCCAGGAAGCTTTCCTGGTGAAGTGAGGGCTGATGGAAGTTGTTATCGTCATCATGGTGTTGTAGTAATATGTTGAGGTCCATGGCCATGTGGTGAAAGATGTAGGAGAGGCATTCGGGGAGGAAGCGGAGGTTGGCCGCCTCACCCCAGATGAGGAGGTATAGGGAGACGTAAAGGAGTTCGCGGCGGTGATTGGAGGAGGAGTTATTGGCGGGGCGGTAGGAGTGGTTGATGGCGGGTTTTACAGCGAGGTAGGAGCACCAGGAGGTGTAGTTGCGGAGGAGTTTGGAACGGAAGGAGCGGAGGAGGGCGGCGTCGAGGGTTTCTTGAGGAGGGGAGAGGCGCATCTGGGCATTGGCGAGGTGGAGGAGGAGGTTCTCGCGCTGGTTGCGGACGTTGTCGTTTTGGAAGCCAAAAAAGAGGCCAAGCCAGTCCAGGAGGTCCATATCAGGGTGCCATTGTGGGGGGAGACGAAGGTCGCCGACAGAGCGAAGGGCGACGATGGCGGCCCGGACCTCCGGGAAGCGGAGAGAAGGGTGGTCGATGGTAGGGGTGTGGAGGGGGATGATGTTGAATGGGTGGTCGACATGGTGGTGTTGGTGGTGATGAGGAGTGTTAGGCATGTGATGGTGAAGAACGAGGATCTACAACAACATACCACACTGAGCTGGTTACGCTAGTGTCACGGTTAGCGCCAAAACGACAAAAGACGGGTTAGTTTGTTACAAGCTCTCATAAATTATTACTTTTAGGCTTAATACCTGTTTTTGTCCCTCTTTTTAAGGGAAATGTTCACTTTCGTCCTATCTTTTTCAAAAAGTTCAATTTGGTCCCACGTTGTGAAAAAAGTGTCCAAGTTAATCCTTTTTGGTCACGGCGTTAAATATTTAACGATTCTGCTGCCAGCTAGGAGTGTGGTGTGCAACGTGGCTTTTTACTTGCGTAACGTGGCATTGACAGTTTAGGGTTTAACTGAGAACGTGGCAGTGAGATTAAAATTGTGATTGTTAGGGTTTGATTTGGGTATTTCGAAATTGGTCTTTTAGGATAAGCATTTTGGAGAACCTGCAAATCAAATTTGGGTGATCTTGAAGGTGAAATCTGCAGAGGATATCGAATTCCGCAAATCAAATCAGGTTAGAGGTTTTTCGAAAATGTTTTCATTGTTGTCGCGTTTGAGGGGGTTTAACTATGGGTGAAAGGTGAAATTGTTTTATGTGGAAAGTTGTCTTAGGTGCTATTGGTCCTGGCTGCATCATTGAATGTTTTATATGATACGGTGTCTTATTTTTTTCAGCTGTTTTGAATTTGTTTTACAGATTACCATCTGGGTTAGCAGCATATCTTTTTACTCATATGCTGATATTGCATTTCTAAGTTCATCTGATGTAAGTTCTGAAATTTTGACTAATGGGAAAAAGCATATGTATGTTCAAAATTTTAATTTGTTATGCATCAAGCATTATGACTGACTTTTTTTTTTAATTTGCTCAATTTTTTAAGCGAGGCAAAGGTATCACTGATCTAAAATCTGCTCTTCAGGTACGCATCAATATCACCTGGGGTGACCACTAACACCTTGTGCTCTGTCATGACATTGCCACTTGTTTATTGTTTGTGTAGACAATTTTTGCTGAGACTCTTGTTGATAGCAAGGATGAATTCCTTCAAAAATTTATGGTGGATAACGATTTTGTTAGGTATTTTGTCTTTATTATGCTGTACATTCAACACAAAAGCAACACACTTGCCATGCAAGTTTTCTTTCCTTAGTAATGTTTGGAAACTGATTTATAAAATTGGAGGGTTGTGGATGATTTTTTAATTGATTTGCAGAACAAACATCTCAGAGGGAGAAGTTTTGAAGCACAAAGCTTTCAAGGAGAAGATTTGTGATTCTAATCAGCATACAGATTCATCTGCTTCAAATGTTGAGGTTGTATTTACATTTAGGCTCAATGTATTGCTTTTTGGTCAAGAGTTAGGCCGTATGATTATCTTAAACAAATGTTTTCCAAATTTCTAGTGCAGTTTCTCCAGTGTTGGGAGGTTTTGATCTACATTGGCCTTAATCCTGTTGACAAGTACACGGAGAACTTTGTTAGTATTATTTCCAACCATGTTAAGTATGATATCTTAGGGAAAGATTATGGGACATCTGGGAAGCAACTTTTTGATGTACCAAGTGATGATCAGGAGATATCATTTGTCATGTTCAGGTCAGAGGCCAACGAAGCTAGTAATACTGTGCAAATGGATGACAATCTGGCTAATCAAGAAGAGCAACTCCAGAAGTTAGTTCAGGAAAAGGTGAACCAAATTAAGTTGATTGCTGAAAAGGTGACCGTGCTGCATCTTGGGAACAAAGGCGTGGCTGTTGATTAAATTTGTGCTTCTCAAGATAGCACGAGATAAACAGGTCTTTCTATAAGATTATGTAATTGGTTTTACTGGGGACCAATTATAGTTTGTATTTGTGGACAATCACTCGGTAATTATTTAGGTTCTTTGTTGTAGGCTTTATTTTAAGATTCTCCTGTTGTAGGTTGTGAAGGACCAGTGATCTATTGACCTGTAATTACTGAGATTAACCAAAGCAAAGTCGATTGATTGACATTCAGTGGAGATTGTCCACTTCCAATACGTCTTGCTCGTACTTTTACCTTTGCAATTTATTTTCATCACTGAAAATCATGACACCAATTTTAAGAGAGACAAGTAGAGGTCGCCAAAGTTGGTCTTGATTTTTTATAATGTCAGGGGTCTGACATAATTACTTTCTTTAAGTTACTTATTCTATTAAGAGTTATTTTAATGTCCTAAATTTTCCATTTAAAAAGAATTTAAAAGCTAGGCTTAACCGTAAGCAAGTTTAAATAGACGTATTGAGTCCAAAAGTAATCTAATGATATATGATTAAGGGCTGAGTCAAGAAAATTGTTTGGTTTGTCCTGATTAATCATGTAATTGCGGATCTGGATTTGTTAATGTCTTTAAGCTACCCATTAATTAAAAAACATTATTGACTAGAAAAACAAATTATCATTTTTTTAGTTGAGTAGAAAATAAATTCACTACCATCCAAAGCGCCATATACATTTGTATATGGAAATATATATTTAAGAGATAAATTTTAAATTAAAATAGTAGTATAACTTTATCCAATGATAAAACCCTCTTGCACATCAATCAACCTAAAGGATAAAAATCGAAACTTCCCAGTAATTTTTATTTCAATGGATAAGATGAGTAAGAATTCATTAATAAATTATGCTCACAATTATTTCCAAAGATATTTTGGCAGTGATTTTGGTTCATTATGGTCCCTCCATCACATGGTTTTGCCAGTAGATATAGGCCTCACTCACTCGTTCGACCCCATAATATATAAATGTTCAATTTTGTAGCAGTATAAGATGCCCCAATACGTTGTTGATCAAAATACGTCCTTGGTTTTGGTGTTAGTGAGAATTGCAATGACTGGAGAAACAACTAACCAATAATTTATTTCTATACACACTGAAAATACACAACTTTTGCACAGTCCAAACATACGCCCTTTACAAAGATTCTGACCTTCTTAATCAATGCAATGGCGTCACTCGCTCTAATCCAAAAACTGATTCGTAGAGAAAAAAAAGAGAGAAATGGGATGAAGTACAAAGGAAAACAAATTAAACGAACAAACATATTTCAGACTGATTAATTTGCTACCTCATCTCACAACATACTACCAATTTGAACATCATTGGCCTTACTCACATGACAATTTCTGGCTTCAGAATATTTGACTTGATCTCCTTGTGGGGCAAAACAACACCACCATTGCTGTAAATTTCATCGCATACATGGACATCTTCTCCGAGGATGGTCATGTTATCCACTCGAGCCCATTGACCAACAGTGGAATGCCACCCAATAATACTGCTGGATATACAGGCATGCTTCTTAACCCTCACTCCTCGCATTACTGTGCAGCTTTTGAGTCTAACACCTTGTTCAATGATGCAGCCAGGACCAATAGCACCTAAAACAATTTCACCTTTCACCCATAGTTAAACCCCCTCAAACGCGACAACAATGAAAACATTTTCGAAAAACCTCTAACCTGATTTTGATTTGCGGAATTCGATATCCTCTGCAGATTTCACCTTCAAGATCACCCAAATTTGATTTGCAGGTTTTCCAAAATGCTTATCCTCAAAGACCAATTTCGAAATACCCAAATCAAACCCTAACAATCACAATTTTAATCTTACTGCCACGTTCTCAGTTAAACCCTAAACTGTCACTGCCACGTTACGCAAGTAAAAAGCCACGTTGCACACCACACTCCTAGCTGGCAGCAGAATCGTTAAATATTTAACGCCGTGATCAAAAAGGATTAACTTGGACACTTTTTTCACAACGTGGGACCAAATTGAACTTTTTGAAAAAGGTAGGACGAAAGTGAACATTTCCCTTAAAAAGAGGGACAAAAACAGGTATTAAGCCTTACTTTTACGCTATAATTAACATATTAGTACACTTAATATATTTACAATCTAGCTTTTATATATCTTATTTCGTAGTTTTCTTTATTTTGAATTTAACATTCATAGTTAAACTTTTTTTGTTTGTTTTACACAAAGATAAAAGAACAAGAATGTGATGCATAAATAAGAGAAAATGTTATAAAGAATGAGATGTGAATATTATATCTATTTAAAATATGGGTTAATTTGTAGTAGATGCTACGAAACCAGAGATGGAAAAAAGAGAAGAAATGTGCATGGTTGGTAAATACAATAGGGTCCACAATTCATACCTCAAACATACATATACACCATGCATGGTAATTAAATTCTAATATTGAATCTAATAATTTTTAATATAAACAATTTTGATTAATAGTCGCTGTAGACAATTTCGAACAATTTGACTTCTTTATGAACAAATGGATTCGTATAATTCCATTAACGGAATCAACATTAAATCTAGTATAATAATCCTGATTTCTAAAACACGTTATATATACCGTGCACATTACATCAAAGTTTAGTATTACATGCATAATAAAACACGCAATGTTTTGGGAGTCTGAACAGAGCATCCGGTCCTTGACCATATTGTTCGCACAGGACCTGGTGGATTACATTGTTCAAACCAAATTTGGTGCACACCATTGTTCAAACGGTATATGCAGCAGAGGTACTTCACCCTAACCATCCCCTCTGGATCGTGCTTATCACGTGATCATTGTTGGGATTGATTCCAAGAAATTGTGACTGGCTAGAGCTCTGAACCATAAAATTCTGTGGTGCAGCGTTGTGAAGGGAAGCACTAGTTGGAGGGTATCCACCTTGAGCAGTATGAGAAGGTTGTGACGGATAATGTGATCTTGCATTCTCACTATCATACACCGTGAAGGAACTAGCAGGAGGATGAGTGGTGTAGATCCCGCTAGTTCCATACACATCCCCTGGCTGTGCTGAAAAAGAGCCCTTCATGTGCTGGAGCATAGGTTGTTGGGGGGGAACTGTTCCACCAGCTCCACTGTATCCATGTGGTTTAACATCACCATGGCTGGGTACTTGAATTGGAATCCCTGAATAAGAGAGTTGCATCGGCATGCTGTTCCGTGGCGGAAGTTGATTTGTAGCTTGGCTGGTAGAATAAGGAGTATAAACATTGGTTACGGGGGTTCTTACTTGAGACTGGATTGAGGGTGGATGTGGAGTTAGCACATCCACCTGCTGTGGTAACTGTTGAGGCCATTGCAATTCTTGGTGCTGTAGCTGCTGATACTGAGATAATTGTTGCCTGGGTGGGGATTGGGTTACCAGAGACGATGATGTTGATGGTGTAATTCGATAGTGTAAATCAGACGGCAAATATTGATTCCAAGCATGTGGATTGGAAGGGGTAGGCGGCATCAGGTAATGATGAGGTTGTTGAGCGGCTTGGCCCACATTTGGAGCTGGCACTTGATGGGAAGATGACACGGGCTGTTGCCGGAGGGCAACTTGCTGAGGTAAGACAAGAGCTAACTCTAGGTTCTGTGTGTCAGATGCATTATCAATTCTTCTTGGATCAATGGAAGAAGGTGAAGATCTCTCCTCATTAGACTGTGTATGACTTGAGGAAGATGATTCTTTACGAATAAGCTGAAGCTTGGCTAATTCTTTCTGGGTCTCAGCCAGCTCTTGCTTGTCTCTCAAAATTTGCACATACCTGTGTACCTACATCAGCAACACAAGAAAATAAATACATGGCAGAATTAGGTCTACTCTAAAAGTATCAACAGCCAGCCAATAAGCGAACAGCTCCATGCAAGAAATTAGTGATTTAGTAAAGGACTATTACGTTTAAAACTTAGTATACTTCCAACTACCCGAACATCATAAATTTTATGATGGTAGGGAGAAAAAATGTTATTCTAGTAGTAAGTGATTTTTTTTGTCAGCAATAAATGGTTCTTAGTTTAGCAACAACAACATATTAGTTTTGTAATTAACAACCTTGAGGAACAAAGTATATTAATAATTTAATGTTGGAAAAAGAGCTTCTCCTACTGAAAACAAAATTATCCCCAGCAGGCTAGGACTTCATTTTGAAGTTTACCATACAGGATGAGGACAAATATTCCAGCTACTCATCCACCAGAGAGATATTTTCTCACTCTAAGACAAAGCTATGAATCAAGCAGATCAAAAAAAGGAGAAATCAAAGCTAACTTAAAGGACATTGCAGATTCTATCAATTAAAAATAAAACTTACTTCCTGAAGGTGTTTATCAAGAGATTTGAGTTTTGAATCTGCCTCTTCATGATCACTATTTAAATCAGATCGCATTGCTCCAATTGATTTGTCAAGATTGTAACAATATAATTCCAAGTTTGACAGCCTTGAACTGATTCCCTCAAGAAACCGCAGAAGGTTATCGGTACATGTTCTCATAGTCTTCTCAACAGTGGCAATCACATCCTGGCTCAAAGAATCTTCAGACGAACTATAGGCAGTAGCAGGAACTATGGATGTTTTTGCCATCCTTGATGCATGAAAGTCCTACAAAAAAGTTTGAATTTGCAGATTTGAGATCCAGAACCACTCGCCAGGAATAAAAAAGTATACGTGTTCCATTGTGATTGCAAGTACAAAAACCCGTCCAGCAAGTGTTCAGCTTGAGAATGGTAAGAATTATTTACAATAAAGCAAACAGAACAACTCTAAGCTAATAGAAATTCAAACTACCCACAGTAACAACCTAAACGCAATGAGCCTATGAGGACACTTTGTTATTCTCAAGGGAATAAAGTAATGCTTGTCAATCCTCGCTGAAGAAGTTCATCTGCCATAATCACACTAAAATAAGCATGTTCACATAAGTCTCCCTCCTAAACTTACTATGTCTTTCTTTTTAACCAGATCAATGATGAGTTAAAGTAAAAACATGAAAAAGATAAAAAAAAAACAACAGTCCAATGGGTACATTGAACATACAGCCAATCATTTTTCATCAGTTAGTGTACAAAGCTACCCTGGATAGGATCTTCATATTACTATTTGCACAAAGCTACTACCCTTTCTTCACTTGAACATAAATTCCTCTATCATTATTCTCACTGCCAACCAGTTACCCTCGTCATTCCCGCATCGATATCTAAATCTGTAGAACACCTTTCCCAACTCAAACCACATTAGAAACGCATTCTTAATTTTATTCTTGACGAACCAGTCGGTATATATTTATTTTTATCATGCAACTATTTAACAAAAACAAGTCTTTAATTTCATTGCATTAACATACTAAAATAAAAACAACCAAATTTACGATGCAGCAGCCAATGAAGGAAGCTTCTAAAAACCTAAAAGAAAAATAGATATAGCAACGAAAAAAAATCCCCCACCCGTGATCACAACATAGTGCCAAAAATGAAAACTTTCCCAAAACCTTAGCCATTTGTGCTTACCCATATTTGGAATTTTCCTTTAAAGGGAGAAAAACGAAAAGTCAACAAGGAAAACCGACATGGGTATGTTTGCGTTACCTTGGCGGGATCGATGTAAATGCCGTTAGAAGAGCAGTCGTCGGTATTGTTGTCCTCGTAGGAACAAAGGATGTCACCAGAAGTAAAATGAAAACCGTTGGAAGCACCGTTGGCGAGACCCGACGGTAAAGACGCCATGAACGGAGGTGAAGGCGGCGGGTGAGTTAGAGAGAGAGAGAGATAAGAGAGAGAGAAAGAAGCTTTGTGTGAAAGATATAGAAATCTGTGGAGCCGAGATGGAGAGAGTGTGTAACGTTACATGTCTCCTAAAAAAGGAAGTTTCGTTTGTATTTGAAAGATTAGGTGAGATGAGAATTAAAAAAACGTGGTACATTACTATTAAATTAATACACTAATGGAATTAATTATTGATACTTTAAGAAATGTCGAGTACCATCTTTTTGACTGCCTGGTATCCCCAAACTACGTATATTAAGAGAATAATTATCCAAAAAATCGATGGTTGAATTCAAAAAATATTTCATATAATCATTTAATCGTATTTGCCATGAAAAAAATACGAATTACCTAATTTGAATCATAAGGGTGTGTCTGAGAGAGAATTGTGTAAGTTATTAATAAATTGTCCTGAAAACAATTATTATTGCCACATCATGTTATGTTTCAAATCTAAGTTAATCAATAAATATTTATTGGTTATACAAAATATATGACTTCATTCGTAGTTTCTTATTATTAAGTGGTACTTCAATCAACTTTTATTCAACTTCATGACACAATCTCTAAACTATTAATTGATTAAAGCATTATTTACTTATGTCATTTTTCTAAAATAATAGTTTTTCCAAACATTATTATAAAAATTCATCTTTCATCTGTTTATTAATCATTAATTATTTAACCAAATATGTTAACAGGACATTGATACACATCAATGGATTCATTATTAGTTTATGTCACATTAAATGTTAAATACCATGGAGAGTTACCTATAAAAATATACATAAACACATATACTATCTTATATCGTGATTGGTTTATAATGTTTGTGACCTTTATTTTATCATGTGTAAGAATTATAACATACTAGTATTTTAAGCCGTATAACGCACGGGATTATTTTTTATAACAAATGTATTTTGTTTTAGATAACAATAATTAAAAGTAAATCAAGAACTTAAAAATTTTAAAATTATATTTTGTAGTGCAACTTTCGTATGAATATTATTTAAGCAATTCAATAGCTATAATCATAAATGTAGTAAAGTAAAATTGCTTGTCTAATTAATTCTAAAAATTAATTTGAAATTGGTTTATGAATTCTTACACCATGTATTGTGGTCAATAATTTGTCTAAAATAAATCATAAAAGCAAACATCCAAACAATGTACAGAAATCCTTCTAAATATCTATATAATAATAAAAATGGTAAAATATAGTTGAAAAATAATACACACAGAACATAACGCAATCTCGATAAAATATTTTCTTTAAAAGAAAAAGAAAATAAAGAGTCTTTTTAGTTAAATTTTGGGTTTTTAGGCATATTTTCTTCAAAATATTTTCTTCTTTCAGTTAAATTTTGAAGTTTTTAGGTTTTGTTTTTATTTTTTTTATGGTTTAAATTTTGGGTTTTGTGATGGTTTTAATTCCCAATTCAAAGATTTCTTAAATTAAAAAAGTAAAAGAGTGTTGTATACGTGTTGCATGTGTGTTGGTTGTGACTTGGGTCAAAGTATTGTGAGAAGAATTGATTAAGCATGCCACGTGGTGCCGTCTTCACACGCCACCTCTCTTCTACTCTAAAGGCATTGATTAAATATTATGAGAGATTTTTTATTAAAAATATGTTTTGTAAGAGAAATATTTCTAAAGACTACAGACGCAGATGAAAACAGAACCTTCTCGAAGATGGCAGAACGTTATAATCTCTTCTTGAATCTTGACCATGTCCACACACAAAAATGTCAACATATGTGAAGATAGTATACGTGTTAAAATTTGAGTTACGAAATTTTAGGTCAATTAATATCAACATGTCTGATATTCAAGAAAAAGTCATTTATTACTTTAAAAAATAGTGAAAAATTATATATAAGATTAATTTATTTTGTATTGGATATACACCCAATTCCTCTATTTATAATAAAAAAAATATAGATTAAGCTAATTAAAATCTAAACATTTCCTGAATCAAACTGTTATTGTGTCTGAATAAAAGTATTATGTAATGACATTGTTTCTTCACATTTCAAAAATTAATTGTGTTCAAAAGAATAATAATTAAAGATATTTCATTAATTTTTAATTTCTTTGATGGAATATCTTCCTGCCTAATTAAGTATTAACATTTTTTAATTTTCATTATATTCTATTAATGAAAACATATATGTTACGGGCGAGGCATTGTATCTTTTTTCATTTTAATAATGTGTTTTTCTCTTTTTTTTTTCACCATATTCTTTTCTTATTTACATATACTCAATTTTTTTTAACATTTCTTTTCTCAAATTTATTTCTTTTTTTCTTCAACTATTTCTCATATATTTTTTTTCACAAATGTTATCAACGTTAAATGTAGAACATTGTTAGTCCTATCCTTTCAAAAATTTATTGTGATATTGCAATATACACGTAGAAGATTAGTATTTTTCAATTTTGTTTACATAGTATTCGGTACACGATTATTGTCAAATAAAAGAAACTATGTTTTTTTATTATTATACTCAATACATAAATAAATGACCTTGAAGATTAAGAAAATAATTATGGTAGATCTTGCTTTTGGTTGACTAAGTTGACAACTCACGACTAGCAAGTTAAAAATAAAAACCTTACTCGCTTTATTATTTTTACTTATAAATTATTGGATAAATATTGAGATAAAACAAGCATCAATAAAAAAAAATGTATAATAATAGTACAACAATTTTAATTTGTTTAATTTTGTTTAAATTATATTAATGATTAATATATAAACAGATGTTTAGTAATTATCATGTGTGTTTAATAAACACATGTTAAAATTATTAAGGACTAAATATATACTCAATGATTAACAAAATTCTAACAAAGTTAACATGCTTAAAGTTGTTTACTGTTGTTGTAATTTTTTTATTATATTAAAAATGCGATATGGTGATATCTGTTGTATTAAATGAAATATTTATCTTAAAACATATTGTAATTAATAATTAAGAATGAACATATGATGTTACTATATAAGAACCTATGACTTCACCAATACTAGACTAACCAAACAATACTTGATTTTCTAGGTTTGGATTTAGCTTTTGTTAGCGTTGCTTTGTTTTACTTTTTCTTTCCGTCATTTTATCCCATTCATAACCTCAACAGATCCATTTATCTTAAATTTCAAGGACTAAAAATAGTTTTATTTTAATTTTACGAGCTAAAAATATATTACTACGTTCTTCTGAAAATATAACACTTACTCTTATAAAAATAAATAAAATTAACCACTTACAAATTGATAAAAGTTTCTCTACTCTTCCTTCAACTTATTCTATTTCGACTTTTTTTTTTCTTGCATCCCATTTTATTGATTGCACCCCTACTCTACAAGTAAAAAGATGAAAATATTTATTCAAAAAAATATATAATATGTTCTGAAATTTTTATTCCGAAACAGATTTCATCATGTTGAAAAGCTTGTTTCACAAATCGTGTTCCAGAAATTCTATTATGGAAATTTCGTTCCATAAATTTCAGAATTTTTTTGAATAAGTGATGCGAAAGTTACTTTTATGAAAGATAAACTGGTCATTTTAGAAATTATGAGGTACAGAAAGAAAAAGCCTTCTATTTCCATCCAATACACTTTACTTGCAGCCTCTAAAGTTTGGGCTTCAAGTTGGCTTCATTTTTAGCCTATAAGCAAACCGAATTCACTGTTTTCATTCGTGATAATTTCTTCAGTAACCTATCTATATATATTATTTGGAAATCTTTATATTTGGTCATATCAATTTTCAGTCTCTAAATTATTATTATCTATTTTAAAACTTTTTAAAAATTAGAATGTCTTAAACTTCAAAAAGTTCTCCAATTTTGTTGCTCTTTGTACAGTGAAGTTGACATTCTTCACCTCTATTTGTTTTTTAAGTTTTTGGTTAATCACACTGAAACTTTTGTTTTAATGAAATACTCACATAAAAACCTCTTCATATTCAGTCTAATAGATATATTAAAAATCATAATCCAATAAGTCAATCTCTCCCTTATGAAACCGTTCATTTAAAACAATATCTACCTATTATAACTAATCTCGATAATTTATTATTATAATTATTATTTATAATGATATATTATTATGTTACTATTAACTATTATTAATTACATGTTATTATATGTTTATATTATATTAATGGGAACATAAACCTATAGTTTATATTCTTATATAATTTGTATTATGAGAATATATGCAGATCCTGTTCCTTTTTATCCTACATATATTTTCAGTTCGTGATTTCTCTGAGAATTTTTTCTGTCTTTTCTGCTTCGTATGGTCCTCTTTCAAATGACAAACTTGCACATTATTTTTACTTTACTTCTCTTAGCTCATATCCATTCTCACAGTCTTTGTTGGTTTATGACTAGATCTTACGTATTCCTAATATATGTAAAATTGTGATCTAATAAAAGAATTAAATATATTTTTAGTCTATAAGTTTTATTTAAAATTAAAATTTTCCTCAATTTAAAATTTTAATATATTTTGGTTCTTAAATATTTCCATAACTCCTATCTATTCTCACAGAGTCTTTATTGGTTTATGAAGAGATCTTACGTGTCCCTAAGATACGTAAGATTGTGATCTAATAAATGGAACATAGACACTACTTACATTCGGACATAAAAGTAGAAACTAAAATTAAGAATTTGCATAAGCAATATAAAACAGGATGGTGATAGTTCAAGCCATTCACAAGAACAATATTAGCAATATAGCAATGTAAGAATTTTCTTAGCTACTTTTATTGAAACGAACATTACAAGAAATTTTGTAATTAAAAATAAAAATTTATCAATGAATTTTATCAGTGGATATTAAAGTTTTTATTAACAAGGGAGATTTTCATCGATAAAATTCTTTAATAATTTAGAATTTTTATTATTAATGGATGAATTCGTTGATAAAATTTAAAATGGTTAAATATATTTTTAATTTATGAATTTTAATAAAAAAATTGGAATTCTTTTTTGTTCAAAATTTTAATACATTTTGGTTTTCAAATTTTAAAAATAAATTAATACAATCATTTTAACTTAATTATGTTAAATTTTTTTACGTG